GGGCAGAAAGAGCAGGAAATGGTACAGAAATCCTCCTGAGAGCAGCCTGTGTGAGACCCTCTCAGGCACTGGGCCTGCTGATTTGCTTGGCCAGACTACAGTGTGATGCATGGCGAAAGCTGGCCCCACCTAAGTCCTCATCTTAAGCTCTCGGACGAATCTTTCCCATGAGATGTCAGCTCCTATCTCCAACCTAGGCACCATCTACAGACTCCTGTCCTGCTGAGATTGCCACAAAATCAAGAAACCATGGAATCTTATCAGTGAAAAGGGCCTTGGGAATTATCTAGGCTAGTAATGCTCCAACTTTTTTTTTTTTTCTGGTGAGGAAGATTCACCCTGAGCTAACGTCTGTGCCGAACGTCCTCTATTTTTTGTATGTGGGATGCCACCACAGCATGGCTGATGAATGGAGTACGTCCAAGCCCGGGATCTGAACCTGTGAACCTAGGCTACTGAAGCAGAGTGCGTGGAACTTTAACCACTTGGCCACGGGGCCGGCCCCTCTCCAACTCTTTTTGTCTCTAGGCTCTTTACACCTTTAAAAATCATTAAAGACCCTGAAAAGCTTTTGTTTATGTGGCTTATATCTCTTGATATTTATGGGTTAGAAATCAAAACAGAGAAAGTGTTTGTTAATTCATTTAAAAATAATAATAAACTAATTACATGTGAATGTAAATAACATATTTTTAATGAAAAATAGCTATGTTTTCCATAACATTTTAATGGGAAGAGTGGCATTGTTTTATAGTTATGCAAATCTCTTTAACATCTGACTTCATAGAAGATCTGACTTAACAGAAGTGAATTGGATTCCAAAATCTCAATGGGTTGTGAGATATTATTTTGGTTGAAGCGTATAAAGAAAATCCAGCCTCCTACAGCTATGTAGTTGTAAAGGGAAAAAGTATTTTAATAGTAATATCAGGCAATTGTGTATATTCTTTGATACTACTCTAAGACACCACAGGATAATTTCTGAAAGGTTGGCTGCATTATGAAATCCACAATCGCATCAGTGACATGTTTGTACTGTGTTACATCAAAACCCATTGGTCTACCCGTCATTCCAGAATGAGTTGTTTTTTATCCCATTGACAATTTTTGAGGCTGAGTGTTACGATCTTTATTTTTCAAGAGAAAATCAAACGAAAACTTCTCCATAATGGCAAAAAAAAAAAAAATCAATTAACTTAGGAAAATTAGATGTGGCATAAAAGAGCAAGGTGATAAACTGGCAAAGGGGAAGGGTGGGACAAATTTGCAGATGAGGATCGAGGTCACCTGAACTACTGTTACAGGAAAGGAAAAAAACTAAGACTACAATTTTTAAAAATAAGCATTTATGGAGCATTTCCCAATTGCCTAATAGAATTATCTCATTTAATCCATTTTTAAAATGGTCTGTGAGGTAAGATGTGTTATTCTTTTCTCGCAGAGGAGACAAAGTGCCTGAGGATGCAGAGCTATAAAATGGGGCGACCACACAGGAATCAGCTACATCTGATGCGGCAACTTGCAATCTTTTAAAAATATATGAGTTTTTAAAAATTCCAAAAATAGTATACAAACTCTTTCAACAAACAAAGAAAAGTAAAAGATAAAAACCTCTTGAGACTTGCTCCCCATTCCTTTCCTTTCCACTGCTGGGAGTAATAGTCATTACAGACACCGTAGTTTTACCAAAACGAAAGCCCTTGCTCTTAATCATCCCACAATCCTCTTTATCCAATGAAGGGTCCCAAAGTTGATACAGAACCCATCGTGGTGAGAGCAGAACCAAAAAGGGAAAAGGTTGAGATAATTCAAGATAACTCATACCTTAGTGCTAATTGTGTTTTCACAATTACATGTGGATTTCTGACTCTGGCTAATTTCTAGACCTTCTTAGAGTTAGGAATTGAAGGACTTCTCTGAACCAATTTTCACTGTTGTGGGAGAGAGTAGAAAAATAATCCAAAGGTCAGAACAGAATAGAAAAGGAGATGAATGGTGAGTGGTGAGTGTGAAAATGCAAGCACGCTGGCCGACTCAGGTGGGTAAGTGGGAGGGCCCGGGCAAAGGACAGCAGCCAGGTGCTCAGTCACAAAGGGCAGCATCCGGACTTTCTCAAGAATTTTTTGCTCCATGGTTTCTGGACTTTTGCAGAAGTGAGATGCTTGGCACTGAGAAGTCAATTACCAATTATGAATTCACTTATTTCTGCCCTTCCCAACATTACTTAAAATGACTTTCTCAGTTATTGTTTAAATTTTGGAAAAGTATTAACTGAATTACTATCTACCTATTATCTATTGAAATGGAATGTTTTCCAGTTAGTTCTTTATTATGGGGGGCGGGTGGTGGATGTCTTTCTATTTTTTTTTAACTTACAAAGTATTTATTACCAGGATGGAAAAATTGTGCCTGTAAAAGATCTCCTTTGCAAATTGTGATGGTCATTGTCACTTTCTGTTGAAGGAGGAAAGTGAACTTGTCACTTGAAGGCCAGTGCAAAAGAATAGGCACCATATCGATTCAACATCCACAACCAAGAGAAACACCTAAATGTTTCAAAATTACCGTGCCGAGAGCATTTCTTTTAAAATATTCATCTTAGGAAGAGTCTGTGAAAGGGGATTTTTGCTCTCTTTGATTGAGTCAGTATCACTAATAATAATGTCTTGGTCCCTCAAAAAGCCCCCTGAAGAGTATTTTTCAATTTACTCATTTTATTTGTTATTCAGTACTTTCTACATTCTATTTCTTAGACTTTTGTCCCTCAACTTTTCTCTCACAGCAGTCTAATCAAATTGAAATAACCCTAAGGACAGACTTACTTCTCTTTTTGTCTTAACCCCCTCCTTCCCTCAGCCCTACCCCACCTCCTATTGCTCCAACCCACATCCCTAAAGGAAAATGATGAAGAAAAAAATATGGAAGCTCTGGAACGCCTTTCTACCCCTTAGAGCACAGAACAGTCCTGACAGATCAAGAGAAGAACGGTTCAAGGTGCTTAACGGCCCCCCCACCCCCAATAGCAACTTTTGCCCAGAAGCTTGAGCAATTCACCCTGATTCATTGGGACTTACTAGAAATTGGCCTCTTTCTTTCTTTCTTCTTTTTTTTTTATAACACAATTCTTGGCATCGAACTTTTTACAGAAACCATGGAGCAAAAAATTCTTGAGAAAGTTTCTTTTTTCTTCTCTATAAATTATAGGATTATAAAATGGCAATAAAAAAATGAGTTTGCTGGGCCCAACTCTGCACAAGTGAGTTGGTGAATAGCACTACCTTCATCGGGGGTGAAGTAGGGGCAGAAAATCTGTGAGTTCACCCCTGGGAAGTGCCTGAGAGAACACAATTATAGAAGCAAACAATTTAAATATTTTTCTTTTGTTTATGAAAATTTACCCCAATTCTTCCTTCTTTATTCAAATGCTTGTCTTATCTGTATTCACTACAAATACTGCATAGTCTTTCTTTACTTCTTGTGTCTTACTGCCCTTGAGAGACAATTCTCTTTTACGGTTGTAAACCAGGCATCTCAAAATTGGATCCAAACCTAAAGACTGAATTCCAGAAATGTCTGTTTAAAGTGTCCCCTTTTGCCAAAGCACGCCCCCCTTTTCCTTTAGCAGTCAGTACTAGGGTGCTGCTCACCTCCAGCTAGAAAGCTTGCTTAGATATTATCACGTTCCTTCCTGACAACAACAGGTAGGCACTGTTATCACTCCCATTTTGTAGATGAGGAAACTGAGGCTTCCAGGGGTTGCATATGCACTAGTCTGTGGGGCGGCAGAGCCTGGATTTCAAGCTGGGTTCTGTAGACATTTAGGTTCATCTTAACAAGGTACTGTGTGCTGCCTCGTTTCTGTGAAAAGGACCTCATTTGCTGGAAGCTTTGGAAAAGACCTTGACTAAGAGCTGGCCTCCTACAGACACCCCAACCCCCAAGAAGGTGCCACCCAGAACTTACAGGGCCTAAGTGTCTTTAACCATCAGGGAGGGTTTCCTGTCACTAGTTACTCCCCAGTTCTCCTTGACCAGAGAGCCCCTGGTGCCACAGAAACCGACTAATATAAACCTCAGCCCTGGCTGCAGCCACTGAGCACTGGACCAGGAGGGCTGAATCCCCCTAGAGATGAAGAAAATGGGGTCAGAAAGCAGTTCTCCGGAGTCTGGGTTTGGTTTAGTTCAAACAAGCAGCCATGCTCCCTCACCGCCCCCCACCTCCTAAACTCCAGCTGTATTTTCTCTCTCTGGTCAAGAAAACTGCCTTTCAATTTTACAAAACAATGGACACGCCCCAAAGTGGGCAACCGTTTAGGTAGTTTCAGCCTTCATACTTTTCTAAATATTTTACAAACAGGATGCTGCTCTAAAAAAGACTGGTGCTTAAAAACCATATGATGGGTTTCCCAAGTTGTTATTTGCTGTGAACATTGCAGTGAACATGGAAGAAAATGACAAGGAAAATGGGGTGGTGTATGTTAAAAACACTATATAAACATTATTTGGGAAAAAAAAAAAAAAGAAACTCTACTGAAATACAAATTGGCACCTTGTGTTATGATTTTATTCCGCAGTTAGACCTGAGACTCACCTCTCACTCCTGTTTGTGGGTTCTTGAACTACTTGCAGTTGTAAGCATTGGAGGGTGCTTTAGGCTGGAGAAAGTGTCCTGTGGGTGTGTGGTGTGCGTGGGCACAAGAAAGATGTGCACCTAATTTACCTGGAAGAGTTTATGCCTTTCAACGTGGCCCTGCCCCCAAAAGACTCTTAGGGCCTAATAAGCATCCAGTTCTTGCCTTCCAGGAACCCTTGTCTCCAGAAGAATCAGAATCATAGAAAGTAACCAGTTCCATTCAGAAACGCAGTGATGCAAACGTGATCACTACCGTTCCGCCCCAAATGACCCAAAACCCCTGTCCAGAACCACGAGGGCTCCTTTAACTTCCAGACCAAACTTCTTTAGAAGGCAACAAAGACTACACTCGGACGCACCCAGGGGCACTCGGTTTTCACAATGCGTTTTATTATTCATAAAAAAATAAATTTATTTACATTTGCTAATTACCGTGGTAGTGCAGCCGGGCGGCAGCCTTCCCCTGGGCTAGGTCGTTAGGTACCGAGCAGCCCCAGGCGCCCACCGCGCGCTCCTCCCCGAGCGACTAAGAAACTGCGCGCCGGGAGGCGGTGTTGGAGGAGGGAGCGACCCGAGCTTGGAGGGGGCGGCCAGGTGGGGACAGTCAGGAGTCGGGGAGGGCACGCTGCAAGGAGGTGGGAGGAAGGAGTCGAGGGAGGCCCGAGGAAGACCAGAGCCTGGTGCAGGTGGGCGCAGGGGACCCGGAGCGCGCCGGGCCAAACCCGGCTCAGGTAAAGCGTGCCTCCTTCTCTCCTGGCGCCGAGAGGTCCTCGTCCCGCCTCGCTGCCCTGTGGGATACAAACCTGGCCCAAATATGCCACTCTCCTCTCTTTGCAACTTAAAAAGATCCCCCTATGTGGGTCTCACGTGAGGACTTCAGTCTTTAAGGCCGATCACCGAGAGCGCGTTCTAACCATTGCCTAACCTTAAAAGGCCTGGGCTCTGCAGAGTCGGGCCATCACGTCTGGCTCAGCTTGGAAACGAACCCCCAGGCAGTTTGGCGCTGGGCTCAGACCGCAGCGCGGGGGGTTAGTCTACACTGCTAGAGCCCGAGGTCGGATCTGGGTCCGCGCTCTCGACTGAAGGAGGATCCTTCTGGAGAGGTAAAGTGTCATCGCCCAGATCCCAGGCAGCCGGAGCCGTGGGCGCCCTGCGAGGACAGCCACGCCGCTGACCCTCCGGCTCTGCCCCCCAGGCCCGCCAGCTGTGCTGTTCACAGTTCGCGCGGGGGTGGGGGTGGGGTCTAGAAGACTCCAATGGAACTTTCTTCCCATTCTCTGGGGGTTCTCACGCTGTCTCCTTTCTCTCCGTGGCCCCCAAAACACGCGCTTAATCAATAACCTCATCGAATGGGTTCGAGTTCGATCTAAGCGGTGGTCCCACATAATCTGTTGGCTGCGGAAACTTCTTTGGTGTCAGAGTCGGGTCGTCCCGAGACCACAAATGGCCACGTCTGTAAAATCAAAAAAGAGCGTCAGATACTGGAGGAGCCCAGATAAAGAGTCCTGTCTCAAACCGAAACCGCTCTCCCTGAGCGAACCCTGGAATATCCCTGGCCTTGAGTAGTTCAGATTTTATCAGTGTTCTGAGAATTGGCGTGTCTTGTCTCTAAACTAGGATTTTAATTTTACTGGAGTTTGATTACGTGAGCCCCGAGACGTCGGTCTGTGCTTCCTCCCGGACTTGCCCTCAGGATGATTCGGTGAGACTTGCAAAAGTTTGGGATTTTGTGGTTTAATTCCCTTCCCCCAACACACACACACACACACACACACACACACACTCAGTCCTCCGCTCCAAGTAGGAACTGGGATATGATCTTTCTCAAGCCAGGAGAGTTGGCAGGTTGGAGAGGGGCTTTCCAGACAAATCCCATTTGGGGAAACCTCTGCTTTTCTGCGCGAATTAAAAAAATCCAAAGGCTCTTTATAACAGAGTTTGGTCGTCCCTCCTCCTTTCGGAAAGTAGGGCTTGTTGAACCAAACCTGTCAGACTCTTAGCTGGAAAAAGCTGGGCGAGGGAGATCTGCCATTCAATCTGCAACCGGGCAGTAGACCCAGCTGGAACCCAGATTCACCCCGGAAGTAGGATATTAACCAATAGCTGTCACTGGGCAAAGCACCAAGTACAATGATGAGAATGATGCAAACCCAGAAGGGTGGATGGCTCTTCTCCAGGAAAATGGCTGGCCCCTCTCGTGATTTGGGAGAAACTAAACTGGCCTCCTCACCACCCATACCAGAACCCCCGTTTCGGCGGTTCTTCCCAGCGGCCTGATTCTGCCCGGCGCCCGGGAGCGCTCTGGGCGTCTCCTGGCCGCTCGCCCCCGGCCTCGCACAGCGCCCCTACCAGGTTCACCGGGTGCACGTAGCCGTTCTCGTAGCGGTCCTCCTGCAGCAGCTGCCGCAGGTGCGCGATGTAACTGGAAGCCAGCCGGAGCGTGTCCAGCTTGGAGAGCTTGGTGTCGGGGGGCACCCAGGGCAGGCTGGTCTTGAGCCTGGAGAAGGCTTTGCTCAGCACGCGCATCCGGGCGCGCTCGCGGGCGTTGGCCGCGTTCCGCTGCGACTGCTTGCACTCGGCGGCCGAGCCCTTGGGCGGGAGGGGCTTTTTGCCGCCGCCGCTCCCAGCCACCCCGGGCCGCTTCCTCTTGCAGCCTCCAGCGCCGCCGGCCGCGCCCAGCGCACACTGCTCCTCCTCGCCGTCGAGGTCTTCCTCCTCGGCCGACGAGTTGTCACTGGGCGAGATGTAGCTGCGCTGGGCGCCGCGGAGGGGCGGCCTCTTAGAGGCGGGGACCGGGTACCCCCGCTGCAGCCCCCGCGGCTCCATCTCCTCGGGGTCGCTCACCGAGCCGGTGGACATCGCTGCGTCCCCCAGGCCCCAAGCGCGCCCGCCTTCCTCTCCCAGGCCAGTCTCGCGGTCTCCGCCTTCCGCTCCCTCCCGGAGGCGGGGGCCAGGCCGGACTCGGAGAAGGACTAGAGACCCGAGTCGGGAAGCGCGGAGCGTGAGAGCAAGACCCGCCGCGGACCCCGGAGAGCGCGGCCGAGACGTCGGCGGCCCGGCCCAGGCTCGGCGTGCACACCCGCGAGCTGCGCCTTTCGAGAGGACTATTTATCTGTACTCCTCGGAACAAACCACCCCAGGCCAAGAAGAGGGGGTTGGAAAGGGGGGCAAGAGGTGGGGCAGGGGCGTGGAAGGGGTGGGGACCGCTTTTCTGAGCTCAGAGGATCTGCTGGTGGGGGCGGGGGAAGGGGAAGTCTCTGCTGAGCCGAGATCTGGACCCTGGGGTGGGGGCGGGGGGTGGCGATGGCCCCTCAGACTGTCAGCGCGAGCTAAGCGTGCGCTGGGCTAGTGATGGAGGGGACCTTGTTCGTACCTACCCCACTTCCACTCCCAACTAATCTTAGCGATGGTGAAGATTGCCAGACCCTTAGAACCCCAGGATGGCTACCTCTGCTTCTCTACCAGTTTTCAGGAGAACTCTGTTTTCCAAGTTCATCGCTCATAGGGTATGACTGAGTATCCAAGGCTGGCCCCACACAGGAGTAAAAGCAAAACAAGCAAACGACACTGAACAGCCCACAAGTTACCTCGCGTTTTCTTCCTCCTCCTTTTCTTTTAGCATCACTTTATGATTTACAAAGCACTTTACTCTACATCCGTTCGTTTCATTTTCAAACAACGTCTGTGACTCAAATATTATCTCCCCTTTGCAGAACTTGAAGCTAAGCCGCAGAGATAGATGCTGAGTAAAGGACCCCAAATCTCCAGGCTGGTGAGTAGAGTATGGACCCAACATCCGTGTTTAGATCTCCGGACCCTCGATATTCCTATCCTACCCGCCTCCCCACCACACACCACAGGATGTTGTATCTGCTATTTTCTACTGTCTTGAGAGTTCCATGTGTGATTTTGATTTTACACCACAATAAGAAAGAGGATCCTGCCCCCACCCTTTGAGTGAGTTAAAGTCTAGGGAATCGATTACTCTTTTGGCTTGTGTCTTGAAGAGCATGCCCCTGGAAGCAGAATGCTAAGTCAGCACAATCGTCCAACTTCAAAAACGACAAATAGCACCCAGAATTATCGTGACCCACGTCAACCAAAAATAAAACATCCTACCCCCAGCCCCCGAAGGAAATAAAACAAAACTGTGATCTCATCACTTTCTAACTCCAAGGGCCTTTGCAATACGTAGTCCGGGGATGTGTACTTATTTTGGAAGGAACACCAATGGCCAGCTACTGAGTGCCTGCTGTGTGCCGGTCACTGAGCAGGCGCCACGTGACAGCCCACTGAGTAATGAAAACAAACCAAAAAAACCCCCTAAAACAACAACTAAAGAATTAAAACTTTCTGAGGTTGGAATATGGTTACTCCGTTTTCCAACGAGGAAAGTGAGTCTTCACACCCAATTTAGGTTTTCTTGTGCTTCCCGTCAAAGCCCAAAGGCTCCCAGGCTGAGCGAAGCGCAAGGAGATGGACGTGCCGGCAGCGCGGGGCAGGGCAGGCAGAAGCCACAGGGCCAGCCTCGCTCCGCGACTCCTCGAGCAGAACAAATGCGCCAGGCTCCGTGCCTGAAGTGCCGCAACAGGTGGCTGGCCCGGGCTGACTTCATCACTCAGGCATCGTTCCACCTTCGTCTGTCTCCCAGGCCATGCTTCCCTCGTGAGGGATGTTTCACACAACCCCTCCCGCTCGCGCCCATTTGCAGAGGTTTTCTCTCGGTAAATTTTGTCATTTTGTTGGGGGCGGGGGAAGGGCTCCTTCTAAGATCAGTGGAATAAAAAGATCACTCGCTCTCAGTTCTCTCTGGGCTAGGAAAAGGAAAGCACAGGGAGTATTCCACAGAGCGAAGGAATCTGTCCTGGAGCACTTGAACTTGAACTTGACTCTAGGCGCGCCAGGCGAAGGAGGGAAGCAGAAAAAGAGAAGGGAGAGCAAAAAGATGTCAAGGGGGAGATCCCAGGCTAGCTTTTTGCTGGCCTATTGATTACTTGAAGCTATCAGTATAAATACAGCCTCACACATTAGAGGCAGGCATATAGGTTTTAAAAATCTGGATTGTTTATACAGGTGCAGAACAAAGTCTTTCTTTAGAAAAGATTAATGGCGGGGTGAGCGCTAGATTTTCTCTAAACAGTCGCAAAAACTGTACCCAGCCTCAGCGCTAAGCGGGTCACGGCCAGTTTCTTTTTCTTGAAGGAACTGCCTGGCTCCAACAATTTTTGCTTATTGTTTTCGTAGCCTTTTCCTTTCCTTGTTCCTTCTTTCTTTTCCTTCCTCTTTCCGTGTTTCTTTCCTTCCTTCCTTTCTTTTTCCTTCTCTCTCTTCCTCTTCTTCTCTCCCTCTGTGCTCTTTCAAAAAAGACAGCTATCTTCTCAATTTTTCTTTTGTCTTTCTATCATTTTCCCTTTCCCGTCATCTCTTTCTAGATGTATTTTCATTCTCTCACTCTTTTTTCGAGGTTGCAGACTCCTAATAAAGATCAGGAAATGTATCCTCATGTACATTTCATATTAGTATAGAACCGCAGTTTGTTGTAACATGTTTCTAATGCTATCTGATGTTTGTCACTGCTTTACACTTTCAAAACGCTTTTATTTTTCCTTCTCTCTCAATGATTACAACAGCCCCATGAATCGAACAGTTCAAGTACAGCTTTCTCTTTTGAAAACCCAGTTGTTTTAATTGTTTTGGCAAGTTACCCCTTGCAAATGAATAATAAAGCCTTTATTTTTGTATTTTAAAAAAGCACATTTTTGTATTTTAAAAAAGCACATTTGCTGCTGCTTTACAACCTTTTAGATCTATAACATGGACATACAGTTGTTTATGGTGTGCATTGATGGTCTTCAAATTCTCTAAGATGTTCTTTTTAAGTATGCAATAGGGAGGGAGGTTAAAGTTACATTATAAAACAAACGTTAATATATTTGATAATGTTTTCTAATCCTGACTCTCCTACTCATTGGCTGTATGACCTTTGGCAATTAACTTTTCCTGAGGCCCAGATTCCTAATCTATATAATGAACTATCTATCTTGTTGTGAGAAAGAAAAAGTAGAAGAGCAATTGCCTGGGCCAGAGCCTGAAACAAGGGAAAGATGGATAAATGCTAGTTCTTTTTATTACTGTGAATTGCCTTGCCCACACCACACAGCTAGTAAGCGACGGGGCCTGGAGCTGACCCAGGTTTTGTGCTCCAGGCCTTGTTCTGGGTTAAAATGGCGCCAGGCCATGTTCTTTCTCTACCCGCTGGCTTGTAGGGTCTGAAGGGCCCGGTGCCATCGCTTCACATTTTCTGCAGATCTCCTCAGGGACCTCACTGAGGGAAAATAGATGGGACTGCATTAGAAACTTCTTCCTTCTCCACGTTCTCTCCTCCTAAAGTCACAGCACTTCTCCAAGCCTCACTCTTCCCTATTTGAAAACTGGGATAAAACTCCTAAATCAGAGTTACCAAAAGGACTAAATGAGGTTGGAGGGTATGTAAAAGCAGCATGCTTGGATGTAACACAGAAAGGTGCTTAATAGGTTAAAATATTCAAAAATGCAGACTTTGGTTTTCTAAAAAAGGAGAATGAGGTGGGATGGTAATTACAGGCCATAGAAAAGATGGCCTTTCAGTGCCGCCCCCTCCCCCCCAGCTCTGTAGTGGGACTGGCTGAGGACGTCTGAAGCTGGGCAGGGCAGGTGTGGGAGAGCAGAGGCTGCATCTATCTTCTGTGAACACCAAGTCAAAACACATAGTAAGTAGGTGCTTAAGAAATGGTTGATGTGGGAATGCATTTGAATGGGTAAAGCTCTCCCCACAGGACTTCCCTGGTGGTGTGTCCCCACAGCCTCGTGAGGTTCTGACCTGTCAGGTTGGCTGAAGAAATTGCCCATACCTTTGGGATCACTCCTACTTTTGATCTAGGAAAACAAAGAGTCTAGGTCAACACTGGCCAATATGGAAGCCGCTTGCCACGTGAGGCTGTTGAGCCCTTGAAATGTGACTAGTCAAGTACACTACTGTAAAATATACCCCAGATATTGAAAACAATATGAATAAAAGAATGCCAAATATCTCATTAATACTTAAAAAAATTATATGTCAAACAATAATAATATTTTGCATATATTGGGTTAAAGGAAATATTATTAAAATTAATTTCACTTGTTTCTTATTTTTATAATATGGCTACGAAAAATTGAAAATTACATCTGTGGCTCGCATTGCATTTCTATTGGATAATTCAGGGATTAACTGTGTAGCCATGCATTGAGTGGCTACTTTTTGCTGTGGCAGGTGTTGGTGAGACGGACTCCTGCCCCCTCGGAAGGCATAGTCTCGTGGGAAAAAGCGTGATAATGTGGGGCGCGCACATTACGTCACATCCTTTCTCGCCTATCCCAGTCATCTGGCCTGCGCCTCACCACGTGCACCTGGTCTGGTCTAATCCGCCCAAACCCAGGACGCCAGGAGAAACGCTTCCGGTTTGGATCTCCGCAGCTCCTGGTAATGGAAACCTCAGCCCCGGAGAGGCCTTGGCTCGCTTTTCCAGGCAGGACAGGCCACCCTGCGGACGCCGGCCTGGGCTCGGTGCCCAGTACCTGGGCCTCTTCAGAGCAGCCCTGGGTACAGAGTAGACGCACAGGCCAGGGAGATGAAGGCTCAAGGTCATGGGATGTTCGAGTCACGTACTGTGCAGGTCACGTGGGATGCCAGTCACGTGAGGGGCAGGTCACTTGGAGGCAAGTCGCTTGGGGGCACAGAATGTGACCAGCCTTTCCCTAGGCCCAGGCTCTTCTTCCTTTATCCACGCGAAGCCCTGAACCCAGCTCCAGGTCCGGGCAGTTTGTGTCTCGGGCGCATCCTGAATGTCCCCACGCCCCCTGCCTGGGAAGGAAAGGAGCTCCTGGCATTTGATGCCCACCAGCCACATGGTTGGGCACCTGTGGGAACAGTGGAATCGACCAGAGGAGTCCTCTGTCATCCAGACACAACCATCCCCTGCTGCTGGTTTATTCATCCAAGAAGTGTGGCAAGATTTTTGCCTCCTCAGAGCCCGGTAAGGCCTGAGCGTGGAGAGAGGCCGGTGCCAGGATGCATCAGGCTTGGGGAGGCTGAAGGCAGAAAAGCCAGGGTTAGGAGTGAAAAGGGAGACGGAGAGTGAGAAGACGCAGAGACCTGATTTCCTCTGCCATTCAGGAGAGGAAATAAAAATCCTCGTTGATATCTTGACAACTACAGATGCACGTGGCTTTGGGAAAAGATTTTCTTTTAAAGCTGTATTTGTGGATTCTAGGGAGGCTGCGCCAGTGTGTAACTGTTCTGCAAACCCCGGATTCCACCTGGAATGTCGTGTGTCTGCTGCAAATCACTTTGACCACTCAAGCAGTGGAGTACAGCAGCCCAGCTCTCGCGGAAAAAGCCCTGCGGTGAAGGTCTCCCTTGGAGGCCTGTTTGCAGAATCCCTGGACCTCATTGATTTGGAAAATCCTGAAGGGCAAACAAGTCTGGCCTGTGGCTTGTGGGTCTGCGAGCAGTCTTGTTTTAAGAAATCCCTTGAGACAGCTTTTCACTCTTAGGCAGAAGCCAAGAAACTTGTATCTCGGGAGATTTTTCTTTGACTATTGATTTTTATTGGCAGTACTTTGGGAATGTGAAAATACTCCATTATGGAAACATCCCTTGAAATGCAGCACACGGCTGTGGTCTCCAGTATGTGGTCCTGGCCCTGTTGGATTTAGTTGTGGAGTTAACCTAGGAGAGAATGACCTCCTGCCTTGTGGCACGTACTGGTGCTCTGCTGCAGACATCAGGAGATCTCTGCATCTACCGGCTGAGTGGCCTTGGGCCACTTGGAGCTGTTTCTCTGTGTAGAGCCCACCTCCCAGGTGGTGGTGAGGCTCAACACGACTGCCAGTGTGCAGGCTCCCCTGGAGGCCATAGAGCATTGTACAAGGTCAGTTATTACGTTATTGTCCCCATTCTCTCTCCTACGGGCTCATTCTTTCTCTACTTCCTCTCCCAATAGTAGTGGGCGCTGCTGCTCATTTAGCAGCCCTCCGCCGCGCACCCCCATCCCTTATAGGACATCAAGTGAAAAGTAAATGCCTCCTGGCGCCAGAAGGAAGTTCTCATGTAATAGATACTTTGTGGTGTCAGAGAGCAAGGATTCTGTACACTTTGTCAACCAGTCCCTTCATCAGCTCTTCTGTAAAAGATGGGGCCTGGCTTATTTACGTACAAACTTTGTTTCTCCGGCTCTAAGCTCCCTGACCTGCAGTTCTGAAGTGAGCTCTCATAGATGATCAGACAGCAGGGGGGTGTTTTGGGAAAAATGCCCACTTTTTCTGGATGTGTTTTTCCCTTGGTTTATTTGTGCTGCTCTGCCCAATTAGCAAGGATAACGAGCCAGTTAGCTTGCAGGGAGGGGGGAGCCGCAGTTACATTCCTCTTTAGGTTTCAGTCTCAAAGGAGGCCTCCTGGAGGATGTTGGAAAGAGAACTAGGTAAAATATCTTCCTGTCTTGTTCCATCGCCCTGCTCCTGTTCTTTCTTAGATGGCCACGTTCAGGCAACTTCCTTTAGGGAAGAGAGGAGCAGAATTAAAATAAAGAAGAAGAAAATGAAAAGACCAAACTGTAAGCTCAAGGAAGGCAGAGATTGTGTCTTGTCCTTCTGGATATCCCCAGTGTCCAGCAGCTTATGAAAGGCACCACCTAAATATTTGATGATTGAAAACATTCACAAACACATGAGCCAAATCCAGTCTGCACCCATGGTTAATGGAGACGCACACTCATTTAACCAACTCAGTTTATTCCTATGTACTCTACCCTACAATCAACGCTTACTGGAACCCAATTACACTTCTCATTCACTGAATGGATGCTAAAGAATATTTCCTGTTTGCAAATGTAGCTTATATATCTTATCTACTTATCATATACTCCACTTGCCACAACCCCAGAGTTAATTCTAAATAACCAAAGAATTACATTTATAAACATCACAACAACAAGGTTTCTTCTTATAAAAATGAAATCTAGTCTTAAATACCATTTGTAACACTTTTTTCCTAATGGAAAAAATTCAGAATTTTCATAAAATTTTAGAGGCTCACAGACCCAAAAAGCCTCAGATTAGATCTTTATCATAGAGTAAGGAGAGAACGGAGCCTTTAACAGTCCACAGTTTTAATGGGTGAGCAGAGAAGGAGGATTTGGAGAAATCAAGGCAGTAATCAGAGAGATGAGAGGAAAACCAAGAGAGAGGAGTGTTATTGAAAGCAAGGGAGCAGTTTCAGGAAATAGTGGATGGGGACTTCCAGTTGAGATGGTTTGGTTGGGTCACATTTTGAAGCTTCCGCTGAGCTCCAAACGCATAGCAATAAGAGTTAAGGTATAAAAATAGGCAGCTGAAATGACATAGCCATGTTCAAAAACAAGAAAAATCCCTCTGTGGACCAGGAGTGGAACCGAAAGCAAACACTGAGTGGGGTTGAAGCTTCTGGCTCGTCCTCGGCGTCGGCTCCAGGCAGGAGTATGCAGGAGTCGAGTTCCTTTGCAGACAACGGGAACGTGACTGGCCCATGTGAGGAGCGAGGCTGACCTGGGTCAGTGCTGCCATTAGGATGCTGGAGCAGGGCTTCACCTTTGTGAATGCAACCACTACGGAAGCAGAGGGAAGCAGGCCCAGCCAGCGGAGTGGCTCTGTGACTGTCATTTTCAGTTGTCTTTTTCTCTTAATTGTGGGTCACGTTTTCCTGCTGCTTTGCATGCCTGGTAGCTTTTGTTTGGATGCCAGACATTATGAATTTTACCTTTTGGATGTTGGGGATCTTTGTGTTCCCTGAAATGTTATTGATCTTTTGCTCTGGGATGCAGTAAAGTTAGTGCAATAGTTGGAAATAGTGTAATCCTTTTCAGTCCTGCTTTTCAGATTGGTAGAAGGAATCAGGACATTGCTCATTCTAGAGCTAATTCTTCCCCCTACTGAGGCAAGACTCTTCTCAGCACTCAGCCCAATGCCTCGTGAATCATGAGATTTCGCAGTCGGGCTGGAGCAGGTGTTATTCCTGGCCCTGTGTGAGTACCTGGCACTGTCCCCTTTAATCTTTTTTGCTGGCTCTTCCTTCAGCCTCTGGGTGTTTCCTCACCCTCTGCAGATCTCCAGAGTTCTCTCTCTGTGCATCTCCTTGCTGTCTGGTGCTCTGTTCTGGGAATTCTAGCTGCTTTGTTCTCTCCAGTCTCCCAGCACTGTCTTCTCAACTCAGGGAGTCTGCTTGGGTTCTCCCTTCTTGCTCCTCAGCATGGAAACCTCTGTCACAGCAATATCTGGGGCAATTATAGCCTTTCCTTGTTTGTTTCCCATCTCTCAGGGTCCACTGTCCTTCATGGCCTTGTGCCCAGTGTTTGGAGAACCATCATTTCATATATTTTGCTTGTTTTGTGGTTGGTGGTCGAAGACTGAGTCTTACCTCTGGTCCTTAATCCTGGCCACAGGTGGAAGTGTTTGGAATCACACCTTAGTAGGAAACTATTTTCTTTCCTTTTGTATTTAAGGGTGAGAGTTGCTTAAGCATGCTTGTATCTTGGGCAAGAGATTACAGATATTAAAAATATGAGAAACAGAAGGAAATAATGATGGGCCAAGATGGGGTAGAAGGAGATGGGAAGTTAGCTTTGAAGAAGAGAAGATAGACCTCTTTGCCTGAAGTGAGATGAAAGTAAATAATGTAGGATGCCACTGTAGATCAGTAGAGGTGTGTAACGACAAGCTAAGAGATTAGCCCCTGATAGTCTCTGTTTTCTCGGTGGAATATAAATTCAGTTTATTGACTTAGAATAGGCGAGTAGGCATGAGATGTCGGATTACCAGAAGTGGGAAATGTGGGGAGTAACCGTGTTGGAGAATATAAGAAGGGTTTGATTAGGTGTAAGGAAACGTATTTCAAAGCAGTTTTAATGCCCCGGTGAGGATGACTGATTGATACTTATACCCATTAACAAATGTGAAGTTAGCTAGCGCAATGATTGATACGTAGTGGTTTTCAGTTAGAAATAGTCGAATCTTGATAGTAAGATTGCCTGTTTCCATCTTTGGTAGGAAGAACTTGCAGGAGTGAGCCATTAGTGGGTTCCTTAGGTTTCGCTGGGGCGGAGAGGTGACTGAGGAGCACGGAGATTAGGGAGACACTTGGAGAGACTTACATGGAGCTTCTACAGTCGGGGACCCGTGGTATGCAGGAAGGAGGCAAATGAAGGCATACGTTTTTTTTCCTTTTTCGGGTAAGTGGAAAGGGAAGGCTTTGCGAAGACACAGAACCGCTGTGTTGTAGAAGTCGCGAGGGTGCCATTAACGTAGAATGCCATGTGGAAATTCTATTTACTTCTTGTATTTTTCACCTGTGCCTTGTCTATGTAAAATGGCCTTAAGACCAAAAGTATATAAATGCGTGCAAATATATATGCATAAACATAAACTATTTGTGAAAATTTAGGCCGCCTGGAGGTACTAGTGGATTTCTTTCCATATATCCTTTAGCCATTTAGAACATAGCAAATATTGGGTATTTAAAATCATGATAACCCTCTGACTTTTCAGTATTAGCCATAGGGCACCCACTGGTACGTGAAGCATAGTTGAACGGGGGAAAAAAGTAGAGTAGGTTAGACTGGCCCCCCACCACTGCCCTTATTTTCTTATTCTGCTCACTAAATGTCAATATCCCCCCACATTTTGTGATGAAGCTGTTGAAGTTAAGAGAGGCGAAGTCCATTGCCGAGAGTCACAGAGATAGTTAGCTGAAGGGGAACCCAGATGTCGAGAAATAACAGTCTAGCCTCATTGTTACTATATCATGACCGTGATGGTTGATTTTATGTGTCAAGTTGGCGAGGCCACAGTACCCAGACATTTGGCCACACGTTATTCTAGATGTTTTTGTAAAGGTATTTTTTTTTAGGTGAGCTCAACATTTAAATCAGTAGACTTTGAACAAAACAGATTATCCTTTGTAATGTGGGTGGGCCTTATCCAATCAGTTGATGGTCTTAATAGAGAAAGACTGACTTCCCCAGAAGAAAAGGAAGTTCTGTCAGGAAACTTCCTTCAGACTTGAACTCTAACTCTTCTCTTCAACCCGCTGGCCTACCCTGCAGATAATGCTCTTGGACAAAGAATGTTAAATCCTGGAGAACTTAGAAAGCAGGATAATGTGAAATGCTAGGCACTCTGTGCTTAAATTGGGAGTTTTTAAGTAATAAAGGGATAGCTAATCTCATAGTTCTTGAAATTTAATCCTCATTTTAGAAATTGTGGAAAAATTAGTCTAGCTAGGGAGGAAAATGCCAAGTAACTATAAAATATCAACACATGACTTTTCATATATTTTTTATATTATTATACTACTTGGTTGAAAAATATTGTTTTTATTACAGTCTTTTCTTCGCATTGCTTGGATGGATATAACCACTGACTCTTTTCTTTTAATAGAAATACAATTCTTATATCATAAAATGTTCAGTGGTTTTTAGTATGCTCACAAGATTGTGCAACCATTACCACTAGGTTTTTCCCAAACATTTTTATCATGCTAAAATGAAACCTGACAGTGATTAGCAGTCACTCCCCACCTCCTGAAAGCCACTCCTCCTTATCTCCTGGAAACCAGTAATCTTTCTGTCTCTGTGTACTTGTCTATTCTGGACATTATTACATAAATGAAATCAAATAATTCCATTTATAATCAATCCATATTATAAACCACAGACCCTTTGTGCCTCGTTTATTTCACTAAGTATAATCTTCTTCCAGGTTTATCCATGTTTTAGCATATATTGGTACTTCACTTTTATATGGCTAGATAATATTCCGTTGTATGTATTTCCCAAACTTTGTTTATCCTTTCATCAAATGATGGTCATTTAGGTTGTTTCCACCTTTTGGATATTATGAA